CCTGCTCCAGATTGGCCGGCATGCTCTGGATGCAGCGGAACAAGGTCTGATCCTCCCCCTCCGGCCGCAGCCGCCGCAGCTCCTGCCCCATCGTAAAGGTGTGGTCGTGAAACAGCACCTGGGAGGAGGAGGAGGAGGAGAAGAAGAAGAAGAGGAGTCACATGAAGAAGAAGGAAGAGGAGAAGGAGGAGGAGGAGAGGAAGGAGGAGGAGGAGGAGGAGGAGGAGGAGGAGAGGAAGGAGGAGGAGGAGGAGGAGAAGAAGAAAGTGTGCGGACATTGGGTCACTCTTGGACAGCGAAGTGGCCAGTGGGCCAGAGAGAGCGAGGATGGGGCACTCATGGGGGAAAATCCAGTGGGGTCAATACCATACTGGCCAGGCAATACCGTACTGACCCCAACTCTCTACCAGCCCTGGGATTGAGGGCCCACAGATGAACTGTGGCTCAGGAGCCGCATGCGGCGCTTTCACACCTATTCTATGGCTCCTGGCAGGGCGGCTGGGGAAGCGAAGGGGAAGAAGGCCTCACACATCGGTCTTCCCTTCCCCAGCCAATGTTCCCCTCCCTGGGTAGGCTCGAGGTGGAAGGGGGAGCAGAGAAAGAAAGCAACTTTAGCTGTGTTCTCAAATCAAATCCCCCCCACCCACCAGCCAGCTCGGAGGAGGCACTTGTCTCTTTAAATCCCACTCTGTAAGCCACTCTGAGAGTCCGAGTGAAGGGCAGGGTATAAATCCAATCTCCTCCTCCTCCAAGCCGAGCCAGCTGGCGGGGGGGGGGGTGAGGGGGTCGGAGGATGCATTTAACATTAAAGTTGCTTTCTTTCCACCTCTCCCCCCCTCCCTCGGTGGTCTCCCATCCAAATACTAACCAGGGTCAGTCCTGCTTAGCTTCTGAGATCTGATGAGCTCAGGCTAGTCTGGCCTATCCAGATCTGGGCAAAAGGCATATAGAGGTGGCTGGCCATCGCCTGCCTCTGCGTAGCAACCCTGGGCTTCCTTGGTCGTCTCCCATCCAGGGCTCTTTCTGTAGCAGGAACTCCTTTGCCTATTAGGCGACACACCCCTAATGTAGCCAATCCTCCACGAGCTTACAGAGTTCTTCTTCCATGGAGTACCGCATGCTCGTGGAGGATTGGCTACATTAGGGGTCTGTCACCTAATATGCTGCGGTGGCTCCAGTGGTTAAGATGCTGAACTGCAGGCTGTGGAAGGTCAGTAGTTCAGCAGTTCGAGACCCGAGTGTGCCGCGTGACGGAGTGAGCTCCCGTCTCTAGTTCCAGCTCCTGCCAACCTAGCGGTTCGAAAGCAAGACATTGCAAGTCGATAAATAGGTACCACTTTGGTGGAAAGGGAACAGCGTTCCATGCGCCTCGGCGTTTAGTCGTGCCGGCCACGTGACCACGGAAACGTCTTCGGACAGCGCTGGCTCTTCGGCTTTGAAACGCAGACGAGCACCGCAACCCTAGAGTCGGATTCGACTGGCTTTCGAACAGGGGAACCTTTTACCTTTACCTAATATGCAAAGGAGTTCCTGCTACAGAAAGAGCCCTGCGGAGTCCCATCCAAATACTAACCTGGGTCAGCCCTGCTTAGCTTCCAAGATCGGATGAGATCTGGCTCGCCCGGGCTGCCCACATCTGGGCAAAAGGCATACAGAGGTGGCTGGCCATGGCCCGCCTGCCTCTGCGTAGCAATCCTGGACTCCCTTGGTAGCAATCCTGGACTCCCATCTCAGTACCGACCTGGGCCAAACCTGCTGAGCTTATCAGGCTAGCCCCTGGGCCATCCCGCGTCCTTACCTGGCTGTAAATGAGATAAAGCCCCGTGTGCTTCACGATCACATCTTGGCCACTCAGTTCCAGGGCCCGGCCCTGTTGGAGGAAGGTCTTCCACCAGATGTTGGTCATGTCCCCGTCACCTGAAGGGGGCAGGGAAGACAACCGTCGCATCACAGGCCAGTCCTCGGCTGGCCAGAATAGAGACGCCTGGGATGGGGAGGGTGTCCTGGTGTGACGCCGTTGCTTCCAACAGCTCCACTACAGGCTGAAATTCGAGTGGTAAACACTCTCTCTCAGAATCCCCTGCTGCCAATCTGAAAGACATCACTCTTCCGCAAAGGGAGATTCCAATGTGAAAGGGGAGGCCGAGAATTCATCAGGAAGTTTGATTTTAATCCAGAGGCGTTCTCAGCCGCTGCTGGCAAAGCAAAACTCCGAACAAATTTAGAGTCCAGTGGCACCTTTGAGACCGACAAAGGTGTATTCAAGGTACGAGTTTTCGTGTGCTCATACCTTGAATAAACCGAAAGCTCATACCTTGAATAAACCTTTGTCGGTCTCAAAGGTGCCACCACTGGACTCTAAATCTGTTCTACCGCTTCAGACCAACACAGCTGACCCCCTCGAACAAAACTCCGAAGACAATGTTATCAGCAGTGCCAGCCGCCCTGGTCCTTTTGACGCTTGAGCGGGATCTAGAAATGTCTTATAAACCCGTGTTTGTTTTTCTCCCTGCTGACAACCCGCTTCCTAGGTCTGATGAATGGGCTCTCGTCCACAAAAGGTTCCGCCTCAATAAATCTGCCTGTCTGCGAAGTGCCACAAGACTTGTTCTAGTTTTAAGCCTAAAATATTTATGGCTGCGCTTGCAAAGAAAATAATTTACACCCGTCTCAGCTCCTAGGTGCCATAACAGTCATTATAGTCAAAAGCCCTGCCTACTGTTTTCTAGAGAAAAGAGGAAGGAGAGCGAGGCCAGGACTGAACAGCTGCAAGAAGCAGTGGGCAGTGTAAATAATTGCTGAGAAGCGGGCAAATTCCAGAGAAAAGGTCTGGAATAAGAGAAGGGACGTTTGGGGTTTTTTATGCTTGTGACTTTAATAAGGAAACGGAAACCAAGGGACAGAGTGTGACCCAGGAGAAACGTTAGCAACATGAGATACAGAAAAGCAAACAAGGAAGGAAGAAGCCCCGGCTTTCAGTTGGCAAGACATGGGCCAGTCTGTTCACAAGAGGGCATTTTGGAGGTCATTAATTTGTAGGGCTGGCACCTGGAGTCAGAAGCCACTGGCAGGGCACATGACACCCGCAAAGAACAGAAGGGAAAGGGGGGAAAGGAGAAGGAGGCCAGCCAGATGGAAAAGAGACGCTGTTATGTACTGGGACTGAATCATTCCTGATTGAATCACCCCAGAGACTGGCTGAGCTTGGGGCACAAGAACAATAGCCTGCCAGGATTCTGAAAGTAACCAGTATAGTAGTAATGTTATGTAAATAGCCTACCACTGGGAGCGGGGTGTGTTTGGGTGTGGCAATTGTGTTTGGGGGTGGCAATTAACAGTCAAGGCTCTGGAGTCTTGTCTTGTGCTTGCTGAAATCACTAATAAAGTAGAACTGATCACTAGCCAGTTTGGTGTAGTGGTTAAGTGTGTGGACTCTAATCTGGGAGAACCGGATGTTGAAAACACTTCAGTATATATGGGGTTAAATGTCTGTTTGTGTTGTCACAGGAAATCACATGTTTTTATATAAGCCAATGGTAGTTTAGATCTGCGAGCCCAGGGAAAACTCTTCCTGATCTAGGAGTTTCATTGGAAGCAAAGTGTCAAAGTGTTTTTGCATTTTATGGCTTCTCTTCCTCTCTTTGTTTGCTGTTTCCAAGAAGTAGTACAGAAGCCATTATCGTTTCTTCTAGTGTTGTCCTTTGTAGAGTAAGGATGTAGCTATTTAGCTGTGTTGTTATTTTCATCCCAGTTACCCTTTCCCTATGCTAGGTTGTAGTAAAAACTTTCTGTTTTAAACACACATGGACTCTGAGTCTGATTATTTTACTCTGGCATTGCTAAGTTATTTTAACTCTGCTGAATTACAATTTTAAAAATCAAACAATTCCCTACCCCTCCACTTGCACCTGCTGATGTGACCTTGGGTCAGTCACAAGCTCTGGCACAGCTGTCCTTGAAAAAGAGCAGTTTGTGTCAGAGTTCTCTCAGCCCCACCGACCTCGCAGGGTGTCTGTTGTGGGGAGGGGAAGGGAAGGGAAAGGAGTTTGTAAGCCACTCTGAGACTCCAAGTGAAGGGCAGGATATAAATCCCTTCGTCGTCGTTGTCGTTGTCGTCGTCGTCTTCTTCTTCTTCTTCTTCTTCTTCTTCTTCTTCTTCTTCTTCGTCGTCGTCGTCGTCGTCGTCGTCGTCGTCGTCGTCTTCGTCTTCACTAGACTCGAGCCTGCCCATCCATGGGACCCACTATGTAACAGCCACAGAGACACCCAAGTGGGAAAGAGGGCCTTTGACAGGGTTGGCAGGTCCGGGTTGGGAAATTCCTGCAGATTCGAGGGTGGAGCCTCGGGGGGGGAAGGCGGTTTGGGGAGGGGAGGGATCTCAGCAGGGTAGAAGGCCACAGAGTCCACCTGCCAAAGCGGCCACTTTTCTCCAAAGGAACTGGTATCTGTCGCCTGGAGATCTGTTGTAATTCCAGGAGGTCTCCAGGCCTCACCTGAAGCTGCAGGGGGAAAAAGAGAAGAAAGAACAGCAGCAATATTTAAAAGAAGCAGGAGTGAGAAGAGAAGAAGAAAAAGAAAGGGAGATGCCAAGGAGGACTCCGTGGCTCTCCGGAAGAGGAGGAGAAGAAATTGGATTCAATCCCCGGCATCTCCAGTCAAAAGGATTAAGACTACAGGTGATGAAGAAGAAGAGAATTGGATTTATACCCTGCCCTTCACTCGGAGTCAGAGCGGCTTACAAACTCCTTCCCCTTCCCCTCCCCACAACGGACACCCTGGGACTGCAATGTTCCCTTTAAGCTGTGGAGTCTTGCGAGCAAAACTTCTACTTTGTGAGCTACTGGCATTAAAGTTGTGAGCGAGTGATTGTGGGCTACTGCATAAATTAGTTTGCTCTGGAGCCCTCCTTCCTGAGCTGAGCTGAGGCAAAAATGTGTGAGCCAGAGGCTAAAAAACTGTGAGCTAGCTCACACTAGCTTAGAGGGGACAGTGCCTGTGAGGTAGGTGGGGCCGAGAGAGCTCTGACAGAAACGGCTCTTTTTCGAGAACAGCTCTGACAGAGCTACGGCTAGCCCAAGGTCATCCAGCAGCTGCAAGTGGAGGAGTGGGGAATCAAACCCGGTTCTCCCAGATTAGGGTCCGCGCACTTCACCACGACACCAAACTGGTAAGCCAGCCGAGTGCTGGAGGCAGCCACCAGTCATGCAGTTACCAGAAAGGGAGAATGTGGCCAACCGAAGGTCAAGAGAAGGGTTCTCTCGGGGATGGGCTGCGAGAGAGAAGAACAGCCTCGGAGTCAGGCGGGCAGGCAGCAGGAGAGAGAGCAAGAGACGGCAGCCCTCAGCCCTATCGGGAGCTCCAGAGGAGAGGAACCTGCGGCCAAGAAAGGGGAGCAACTGCAGAAAATGGACCTGGGGTGCAGTTGGGAGGAGGGGAAGGAGGAGGAGGAGACCAAAGAGCTTAT